ACCAAGTCCACTTGCACATTTTTTATGCGTGGGTTTGTTCACTTCAACCGCAAAAAAAGCCTGCCAGTTTGATGTTCATGAAACGAAGTGTTATATATATATATATAGACTGTTCGAGTTTTTGTCAGAGGTTTTCAACTCAGCAACCATAAAAACTGGGAAACTGAAATTTCAGAACGATGTTTCCTCTCCACATATGCCCTCGCAAATTTGAATCTAATTTTCGTGTTCACCCGGTTTTCAAGTACGAGCTTTGGGGAGAAATCTTTTAACCTGGAACCATAACATTTCGATGTTTTTTGCATGAATCGATCTGTGAAGCAGTAAATATTCCGTAATAGCAAGTTTTCACTCAACAGAACGGCGCAAAACGCATGATCTTGTTAGCTACCCTGGTGAACCTTGTTATTTGTTAAGAAACTTAAGAACTAGCCATCTCTGACCAGCGTGGAAGCGAAGGCAGCAGTATTCAAAAAGCATTTAAAACCGGGCAGTTTCAGTGATCAAAACACGAATGCAGCTGATCAATCGGGGTGTAGGCGAAGAAGCATATCGAAGTATCTTTGAGGCGTTTACGTATGTTTTAGCTATTTCGCCGTTCCTTTTTTTTTTAACGTAAATGAGAGAGAAAAGAAAACCCAGCCTGTATATTTGTACTTTTTTATTATTCAGTCGTGCTAGCGGTTTTTCTTTTTTTCAGGAAAATACTCAGGTATGAAGGACCAAAGGCGTTGTTCAAAGGGGCAGCATGCCGAATGATGGTACTAGCACCTCTTTTTGGCATTGCGCAAATGGTCTACTACATCGGAGTTGCTGAAATTTGCCTTGGCCTCCCAAAGGCTCAACATTAACTACCTGATGATATGCGCAACTGGAACTCCTCTTTTATATCGTTCTGCCCGCTGATTCTTGCCTTTCTATACGTGTAATCGTTGAAATTTCCTGCAGCCTGCTCAACATAACAACAAAGAAATTTCTAAATATTACTGTTCAGAATGTGGTTTATCGTACAGAATGGCAATTCAGCAAACAATACAGTTTTTCGAGCTCTTTGTACATCTAATTAGAAAGTGTGGTCTACAAGTAAGTTGAAAAGGGTCCGTCTGGAAGTCACGCTAATCACAATCGATCATTAATTAAAAGTCCCAAACAGTTGCACATACTTATTTAGCTGTCTAAACATCCCATCCTAATTATTCCTCCCCTCCCCCCGAATTTCTAGCACCTGCAGGCATGACGCAGCGAGAGAGCGATGCTGTCCTGAAGCAGATAAAAGGTTCCACCCCGCCGATGAGACAATCGATCTGCTATTTTATTGTTTTCGATGGTAAATTGGTACTGAAATACGCCAGGAAGTTAAACCCGCCATTAAGCTTGCTCATAAGCAACCCTCGATAAAGAGGACTATCGAAAAATCTTGCCAACCGATGGTTGCTCTTGGCATTCGCTACTGCGGGCTATTTCCCGAGTGCCTCCGCCTCTTACTGGGAACAAATACGGAGGGAGTTTCTGAATTTTCTGATTTTCCGCTTATTGCGTTTCAGCGCAGTTTCAGAATCGAAGCTCTCTTCCTCTGGCTAAAATCAAATTTTCCCCCACACATCCAGCTCGGAAGAGTCTGGCTGTACGCCGTGAATGCAAGCAAAAAAAAAAAAAAGAAATATGAAAAATTCATTTACACTAGCCGCGAAAATCAGTTGCAAATTTGCAAAAAAAAAAAGAACGAAAGTCGCTAAACTGTGTTATCAGGTAAACAGTCCAAAAAAAGGAAAACATGGGACCAAATATAATACTTTAGAAATCATGATAAAGCGGCGGGCGTTGCCAATCCTG